CGTCTGTCCGGGTATTTCAGCTGTTCACCCAAGCAACCTCCAACGCCAAAATTTTGCGAGTGGATTCCTCGGCCAAGTGCCACCTCAGGATCACGGTACCAACTCTCACGCACGTTCAGGCCCCGCATGTGAGCGAGTGGAAGTTCTGGCAGGAAAATCGCTAACTCGGGAACCAGGAAAGCTAGAAAACTGAAATTTTGAGGTTATTTTCCCCGTCCATATAGAACTCAAAGATTTCAAATTCGTCCCGAGGTATGCGCGGTTCTCGCGTAGGCGCCGTGAGGGCTCCTGGCAGAAAAATCGCTAACATGAGATCCAGGCAGCTGAGAGGCTGAAATTTTAAGGGGATGTTCTCAGCCCATATAAAGTTATCAAATTCAGCCTTTCGTTGTGTGTGTGGTTCTCGCGTACGGCGCCGTAAAAATTTTTGACGGGAAAATGGCTAACGCCAGAGCCAGGAAAACTGGGGGCTGAAATTTTCAGAGAACATTTCCAGCTCATCTACAATTTAAATTTGTCAAATTCAGCCCCCGGGCATGCGTGGTTGTCACGTGCGGCCCTGTGAAAATTTTTAGCGGAAAAATGGTTACCTCTGGAGCCAGGAAAGCTGGGGGGGCTGAAATTTTCAGAGAATGTTCCCTGTCCAGTTACAGCGTAGAAAATTAACTTCCCGAAATCCGAGGACCACTATGTCACACATTTCTAGATACAGAGTTTCCCAGCGATCTCATTACAGCACGAAACACTGCAAAAACGCACGATCGTACGAGCCCATCCGGTGCGCGTCGCCAATGATTAGGAATTTTTCCACGTACGATATTGAGAAGCGACGCATGAATGAATTTTGTTGTAGAGATGGTGACCTTTCCAGTCAAACAGTTCCACAGGGGCGTAACAGCTTCCCTCATTTTCGTCATTTTTCCTCGTTGAAGCGGCATTGTGAACTTATAACAATGAGAACAGATAAATGATCAGGACGAGATAAATGCCACCCAATTGACGTTTGTTTGAGGTACCACACAAGTGAAATAGGTTTGAAACACCGCACAGTTGATGCGTTTTTTAAGACAAAAAGCTCATGGCGTTGATTTGGAGTACCACGCAGGTGGTACTTGTTTGAGGTCCCAGATGATTGCGTAAATTGTATTTGTTTGAGGTACCACGCATTCAGTTCAAGTTGGAGTACCTCATTGCTCAAAGTAGTATATTGTTACAAAATGCATACGCAGTAATTGATTCACGGCTAGATCCGTGCCTCTCAAAAATCGATCCACAAACGAGCAGCATTTGCATGTATTCCAGAAAAGACAGTGTGTGGCTGCTTTTTTGAGCACCTGTGCTGTGGCGCTGTTTTTCTACCACAGTCACAGTAACGCCATATCCATCTGTCTGTCTGCTTCACAGTGCCGGCATCCAGAAACGTCCCTCCGTTGGATCGCTGGATCTGTGAACTCTTCTTCTTGTCATTGTTCTGCTCACACTGTACTGATGCTGTAATGCAGCAGCTGCTACTGTACGGGATTCGGGACTACTCCAAGTGTTATCCTGGACTGGTGAGCCGGGAGCATGCCGGGTGCTGGAATGCGGGTCGGCTCGTCCTCATTCTGGATGCTGGTACTCCAGCTGCGCTCTCTGTTCTTTTTTCTTGCGTTTCGTGCTGCATACATTTCTGCTGCTTACAACTATTATGCGTTTTTGATCATATTACCAAACAAGTGAGTGATGCAGATATAGGAGGCTTGTGAGTGACCCTTCCTATTCCGCAGCAGTGTGGATTCCTTGCACCCTTGGTAATGAAGGATTGAAAAACCAGATTTTTAAGGCGCTAAAGATGTAAGAAGCTCAGTCTTTTCGGGTCAGTATTTTTTTTGGAAGAAAGACGGAAAGGACTTCAAAAATGAGGATGTTCTGGACTTTACTGATTTGTTAGGGA